AAAGAAAGGGCAAACTCCTCAAAATAGCCGATTCACAGAACTCGTGTTTCAACTTCGACCAATAGATTCGACATGAAGATCATCTCTTGTTCTTTTCTCAAGGACACTACGTGATGGGCGAAAATGGAGGTCAAAAGCGGAGCCCACTGACACCCGAGCTAAGCCACTACCTGTCCTGGTGGACCCCCTTCTTGAGTAGTACAATCAGCTGTTGTGAAAGGACATTTACGTGCAATCATAATCAAAAGGGTTGGGAAAACTCGCCAAAAAAACCCTTGCACTTTTATTTCTCGACTGGTTTCGTTACCGATTATTTCCAACACTGATATTGTAGTCGTTCAGTAGGAAAGAACGTGAGGCAAGCAAGTGGACCGTCTTACTCATAAGGTGCCAAAGTTAAAGATCGTCTCTTCTGCTGTATGCTTCAGGTATCGAATCCCTCAAACCCCCTTAATCACTAGGATGCCGAGTTGTGGGTGAAACCTTAAGCGCAGCCTGGACTCGAACCCACATCTCTGGCTTTTCGGGGTAGCTACTTCCACTACCGCGACACATTTTACCGTACCTGTGAATTATTAAGGGCGGAAGTGGTGTAGTGGCAAGTGGCACGCTCACCACGCGAGCGGTCCGGGGATCAAATCCTGGGTCGTGAGTCGCCCGGGCCAACCAAGCCTTCCATCCCTCCGGGGTCGGTTAATTGGTACCAGACTTGTCTGGGAGGATAAAAACACTGACTTGTACATCGGCTGGCCCCGCAAGTCATTGTATAGGCCACATCGCATTCAAACGCCACTACGAATGTACAAATGGAAGTAGAATGCGTGCCGCATCCCAAAAAGGGATTGATCAACGGCAAATGCTTTATCCTTTATATTATTGGATTTTACCTTTGCCAACAACAATTATTGGGTACGGTACAGAATCTCAACAAGATGAAATTGACATGAATTTCAAAACAACAACGGCGGTGCTTAAAAATTCCGCTCGGGAAAAAAAGGAGGAGGCAAAGCAATGGTGAAATTGGGTTTTCAGGATGTGATAATGTATGATCTGGCTCTACTCAGAATTACCTAAACTTCTGAAAAACCTCTTGAGAATTTGAAAATCGTCCCCGAAAGTCAAACTTGATATGAACATCAACGAAAACTTTCGAGGTTACAACATTAGTGTACGCCAAATTCGATTCTCAAAGCCTCTGCGATGATAAACGAAAGCCGAATGCGTGGCTCATTCAGATGGATCAGATAGCGGATGAATCATTTTGACACCACCACTTTCTACTCGAAATTCTTTCCACTTTCCTATTGTATTATCCTTCGCCCCAACGTATTTACAAAAGGAAGACGATGTCATGCGAGGTTGAGCTCAGCCTGCCAGGACGACTCGAAGAGACGTTCACCAGGGCTTCTCGTCATTGGTGCTGAGGCCAGTTCAGGCTCAGGCTAGTTCCAAGAAAGGTGACTTTTCTCATTCAAAGGTGACTCTGACCTGACGCTGATGTACCCACCCACCACCTCCCCGCACCCCCCCCCACTCACCTCGTTCGGGACAGGGCTACGAGCACCAAGTGGCCAAAAAAGTACACATATTTCAGTAGAAGGAAAGCGCAAATTAAAGATTTAGACTTATTCCTTGAGAGGCAATTGCCAGATTACTGAAGATTAAAGAAAATTGAATAAGACTAGATTGAGAAGCGGATTTTCCTCAAAATGTCCCAGATAAAAGAACTGGTAACCAACTGCTGAGAGTAGTACTGTCTGCAACTGGCAAAGCGAACGTTCGCAGATGTGGAATATGCAAATCAGGCAGAGAGTGTGAATCAGGATCAGAACTTTAACACCACCGACATAGGCGCTTGAAAAACCGGTTCGAGCTCTATGTACGTGCATACGATGTCATTTCTCTGTAGTACTATCGCCAAACTACCAGCAACACCCTTAGCAGTACTATAATGAAAGACTGGTTTGAGAGAAAATGAAAAGTTCACTGAGTCAGACCAAGAGCAACCAAAGTCAACAGTGGAATTCTAGTCACAGATAAGGTGATGAGCAATCGATGTGTTAGCATAGAAGGCCGAGCGAACACCCGGCACAAAAGAAGGCCAAGTGTTGGGCTGCTGTCATGCATGACAAGCAACTCGTTCCTAGAAAAAAGGACAACTGCTAGGAGAGGTCAGGGGAGCCTATTCGGACATATCGACACACTCTGGCTAGTATAAAGTTGATTCAAGCCTGCTCTGAAATGGCATCTGCATTACACGAAAAGTGAAGCTTGGGATTGATAATTTTAGATTGATTTGACCACTATAAACAGTGGCCTTAGACAAAGTGGCACAGTGGATGGAGGCGCCGCAGTGGTGTTGTACCATCTATCGAGTTCAAACCAACTAATTTTTCCACAAAGGGTTGTGGGTTCTCAACAGAGGCGGGCCTTGGAGTATTCTGAACGTATGTAAACATTGCTTGACCACGGCTATACACTGACACGTCAGTGTATAGCCCCACGCCACATTAAAGAAACCTTTGACAATGGAAATAGAGCGTATCGAAGAGTTCCGACATCACAACCAAAGACTTAAAATTCTGGATCGGAAAACGGAGGGGTTACACAGTGGTCAGGAGCTTTCTTAACAACGTGCAGGGTTCCCGAGATCGTATCCCGTCCGGACTGACCATGTTTTCCATCCCATGGATCGCATCGGGCCTGTTTTGGGAACAACAGCACGGAAAGCAAGAAATGTAGAGATTGACCCAACGAGATCATTGGATAGCCTATGTGAGCATCTAATCGACACAAAGATTGAACGACTGAATACCCACTGCCGAATGCATGGCGCACTCGACAACCTTTGAAGAGCGTTCGATATTATGTATATGTGTTCGTATTTTAGCATTATCCTCGCAGCAAGTGATAGCCACGACCCTGTACCTCCTGCCCAACCATTCGTATGGTATTTTCAAAATTTTCTGGAGCCCAACCGATTTTAAAGGAGGGTTCCACGGTAGGTCGAAGGTCGAAGAAAGAATACATAAACCTAAGCGAGGTCAGGTAGTCCCCATAAAAGTGCAGGACGATACGAAGTCCGCAGTGATGGGTATGTCTCCAGCGGACCCGGCCGAGCTCTCTCGCATGATGAGGACAGCACCGATGGGACTCGCATCAATGCAGAAATCAGCGGATGAAGAAATAGTCCCAATTCTCGGGTTCGAAGCCTCTTTTCATAGTCTTTTTTTCACATTAGTGTTTCACTGACTACCCCTCGTTCCTTGCAAGCTGCTTTTCACCGTAAGCTTGTCCTCTAAAAACCCATTTTATCCCGGAAGATTTTCTGAGGAAGAGAAACTTTGGACAAGTTTACTGAAGCTTTATTTCACTTCGAGCATTATTCCACCTGAGCTTAGGAAACATCAAGATAGCTGCAGTACAAATGCGATATTTGTGGATAAGCCGAAGGATTTCAAACTCAACAATTGGCCGAATTTCAACTTCTATAGAATTTTTGCATACTACGTACAGCATTAAACAGACAACAACGTTCCACAACAATATACATATAGTATCACAACAGTAACAAAAGTTAACAATACTGCAAGCTTATTGGTCTGAGTTTTCAGCTTTTTGCTCAGTCTCAGGCCTCCACGTAAAAACCGGCATTAGTCGAATTGCTAGATCCCCACGCTTTCGACCTCGGACCCCAATTTTTCCCCTTAAACAGAAGAATAAAATGAGAAAACGGAAGGGTACCACAACAAAAAAGATGTGGATGCTGTGCAGTACAAACCTTATTACATTGAATCGGACCATCTGATCATCCTTCGTTTGTTGACTAGCTCCCGGATGGTAGTCGGAAATTCACTTCACTCCTAAAATGGTGTTTAAAATTCGAAAATTTAAGCACTCAGGTTTCTCCAGGATCTTCCGTATAATCAGTGAGGCAAAATAAATTTTATTCATCTAATGGGGTAGCGCTAACCACTGGAGACACGTAGTCTTATTCAAAGACAAAATGTGTGGAGCACCGACAATAAAATGGCCGGCGGGGTGCAAGGTAGGTGACTTAAACGCAGTCCGCCATTTAGTTTACTGAGATAATCGGTTATGACAGTCGAGCATTAGGGACCGTAAGCCTAGGAGTGGTTGCGTTAGAGAGGCTCAAAAGGCGCCCCCGAGGGCAGTCAGAAGGCCTGGCCAGTATTCATCCCGTACACTCTCTGCTGCTCCATCGGCCGTTTTCGCTACGGCGCGCTTCCCCGCGTCTTCCCTTACCCTTCTGCGCCATTGAGGCTTCATCGTACCGACACCGTGGAACCTTCATAAAAAAACGCTTCTCACTTAAGGTTCTTTCTCAATAGTTTCTTTTACCTCTTTGTTCACAGTTGGTATACCTAACCTCTACTTATATTTCCGAGTGAAAAGACGAGAAATTTCGATTGCTGAATATGCCCCTGAATTTTGACTGTTCAGTATGCCTTCAATGCCGTGATTAACATGGTACACAGTACAGTACAGACCCAATTCATCCCTTTTGAACGAGAACTCGTCCTTCCAAGAACACGCTATTGGGCCACTTCGCCGGCTCGGATGCTACCGAGCAAAAGTCCTAATCGTTCACCGACCCTTGCTCCTGCCACCCCGCACAATGCACCGTCTCCAAAAATATGTTTAATAAGTTCGCGCCTGCCTTTTGCCTAACCGACTCCAGCTGCTTCCTCAAATTCATCGCCTGCGTAGGGGGCAGGTGTACTGTATCGGCTTGTGTTCCTTTCGAGTGCTGCCACGCGGGACTTTGACGATATTTATTGATAACCAACAGCCGAGAGACGAATAGAAGCAGGAGACGATAAATAGCCGATTACAGGAGAAGCACAATAAATTAACTCAACCTCACTCTACCTCCCTTTTATACTGCCCTGATACAAACATCTATGATAAACACCATGACAAACAAGTTAAGTTCATTTACAATGGTATTCATATTGAAGTAGGTTATAGAGGATTCTCTATACTCCCCGCCCCAGAAAGATGATCGTCGCATTTATCATTTTTATCTTCTTCCATTGCTGTGGCTGACTTCGTTTCCTGTAGCTGTCGTCGAGTTGGTGAATTTTTCTCTTCATTTTTGAGATGTCCGTGATGTCGTTGTATTCGTCTTGTTCTTGGAGAATCCTTTCCGTAGGGAGTAGTGAACACTCCTTTCTCTTGAAATTGAAGGAAATGTTCATACTGTCGAGGTTTCGGGAGGCATCTTGCAGGGAATAGGGAGTCGCTGGATAGTTTCGTGACCGCTAATTGATTGATAGAGGAACTTGTGCAGGATGTTGAGTTTATAGAAGAGGTTTTGTGGGTGTAGGGCTTCACTGGAGGGAGTGGGAGGGTTGAGGTTTGGTTGGTGGTTGAGGAGTGGGTTTGGGTGGGAGAGGCTGCCGTGTTCGGCAGAAAGATGGTAGTGGGAGAAGGGAGGGTGTGGGTTACGGAATAGTTAACACTTGCTGTAGAGGTGTCTTTCTTTGCACGGACGGGGACGTAGGTTGTATCGGGGTTTGGGCTGGAACTCAGATGTATCTGATTCCGTTTGTTTTTGCAAATTCGCATCTCCCAGTTCCAACGGGATCAACAAGTTCACTGGTCTGCGAATTGTACGTCCATTCGGTATTCGAAGTTCCACGTCTCTGATGACGTCGTTGTGGGAGTGGTGGATTTTCATGATTCTTCCCATTTTCCAAGTGTTTCGTGGAAGCAAGGGTTCCGCGATCAACACGATCTCTCCGACAGACGGTGTTTTTGGAGTACTGCGTTTATTGCTGATGAGAAGTTTATGAGATTCTCGTAAGGCGGTCAGGTATTGTTGACTCCAAACTTTCCAGAAGTGTTCTGTAAGTTGATGACTTGTCTTGAGTGCTTCTTCTGCTTGTTGTCGAGTTTGTAGTGTCACGATTTCATCAGGTGGAAGGTAATCTGGATCTTCATTATCCATCCCCCAGCGTTTTCGAATGGATACGTTGTAATCATGTCGCGTTGAATGAAGTCTATTGGACGTAGTGCTGGTGTTTCATCCCACTTTTCTTCTTGATATGTGAGAGGTCTGGTGTTGATGCAACCTTCAATTTCCACTAAGAGCGTTTCAAGGGTTTTCTCATCTGGAACTCTTCGTTGCAAGACTTTGTAGAGGCTGTGCTTGATGGACTTAATCATACGCTCATAAAGACCTCCCTGCCACGGAGCATAAGGTATGATTGTTTTCCATACAATTCCTTTGGTTGCCATTGTTTGAATGAATGATACGTCATTGATCGTGGGTAAAACCAGGTCGTGAAGAATTTGGTTCCGCCAGTATGAAGTATTGGGATTCCAGTCAGATGTATGCTACGGAACTCCGCGCGAGCAACACGAATGCGCCAAGGCCTCAGCCAAGTGATTTGTGCTCATGTCGGGTACTTGTTCTAGGTGAATAAGCCGTGTCGTTGCGCACGTCAGGATAATTCCGTAAGCTTTTTGCGGGTTCGTCGTTTCGTTTTATCGAGAGAGGTCCGAAGTAGTCGATCCCAATGTGTTCAAATGGTCTTGTTCTGCGTACTCGCTGTTCAGGCAGATCATCCCATTCCGGGTACCGATAAGGGAGATTGTTAATCTTCTGGCAAGGTAGACATCTAGCTATCGCCGCGAAACGAACAATTGTCGCATTTCGGAATTCCAAAAATTGTTGGTCGTACATTTGCCATAGTGTGTGCCATACTGCAGTGTAGGGAAGAATGTGCATTTTCCACAATTAACCGAGCGAGATCGGTCTTACTGGCGATCAGGTAAGGATGTTTCGCACTGGATTTCAGCTCAGAGTTTCCCAGTCGTCCTCTGCACCTTAAGATTCCATACTGGTCTTCTTTCAACTTTAACTGCTTCAATGCTGTTTGTCTTTCTGTAGGGAGATGAACTTTCTGGTGATTCCGAATAAGTATTCTCAGAGCCATTTCCATTTCTGTAGCAGTTATGTATACCAACGATTCTGCGTGTCGTATTTCTGGAATGCTGCTTTCCACTTTCTTCTTGAGACTGCTGTTTACGTGGGTAAGTAATCGCTTTAGGAAACGCAAGACGTACGCTAGTACTCTTTGGCTTTTCTGAAGATTGTTGTGTCGTTTCCAATTCAGTAACTCCGAAAAACCATTGACTGTTCGAGCGGTTGATATGCAGACATTTTCGTTGTTGTCGTTCGGTGGCAAATTGAATATGTTGCACTCACGGGGCCATTGTTCTAGTGGATGTGAGATGTAAGATGGTCCAGTCCACCATAAATGATTCTTGAGATCAGCTTTCTTTATTCCTCTTGTCGCACAAGTCGGCTGGATTATCTTTAGTTTTCACATAGCCAAAGTGGACTGGAGGGAGAACTTGAGAGACGATCTGTTTGTATTTCGCGAACTCGGTTTCGCACTAACACGCCGGTGGATGTATTCAGTTGATGTGATGAAATCCAGCTTAAAGCGATTTCTGAGTCGGACACAAACCGCTATTTCTTCTATATTCAAGCGCTCTTTCACTGCTTCATATATAGAATACATCAATCGCACTGCCATCGTCAGGGCATTGAGCTCCATCTTGGGGATCGTGGGTATTTCTTTCACCGACGGTAATTTGCGGATTTTCCTGCTACAAGAGCTGAGCCGTTGTTTGATGTGATGTATGCGCACGTGGCCATACCAATGCTGCTGGCGTCGGAGAAGACGACAAGTTTCACACTTTCGTTGATTTGCGTGATTCTTCTGTTGAGTTTACACTGGAAGTCATTTACTTCATGTAGAATTCCTTCCCACTGCTGTTGATGTTCTTGAGAAAGGATTTCGTCCCAGCTGTAATCGCATTTCCACAAATGCTGCAGAAATCGTTTTCCATGAAGCGTGATTGGTGTCATCCATCCTAGTGGATCATAGATTGAGGCTATTTGTTCGGAGACAGATCGTTTCGTGGTAATTTCTTTAGGAGGATACTTGCAAGTTAGTATTAGCTCGTCTTGAATTGAATTCCACAGTATCCCTAAGATTTTCTGAGTAGTCATTTCGCCTAAATCTTTCTTGGGTATCTGTCGCTTGAGTTTTTCATCGTTAGAAATGAATTCTCTGAGATTCATTTTCATGTCTTCAAATACACTTTTTGAATTTTCGTATAAGCGCATTGCTTCCGCTGTAGATTTCGCTGTCATGATCACATTGTCTACATATGTGTTGTTTAGTATTTCGCGAGCGATTTCAGTGTCCTTCGCGTGATGTTGCAGATGATACTTGATTGTTCCAGCTAGGAGAAATGGCGAACATATTAGTCCGAAGGTAACGCGGCTGAAGCGGTATGTGATGATGTTGCGTAGGGTCATCGGTTGATTGAAGTCTCTTAGCCACATGAAACGAGTTGCGTCTCTGTCTTCCAAGTGGAGTCTCACTTGTAGAAAGGCTTTTTCGACATCACTGGCGATGGCGACGTCTCCTATTCTGAATCGTAGTAGAATGTCCCAAAGCTTGGGAAGCATGACGGGTCCTCGATGAAGTACATCGTTGAGAGAAGGAGCATTTCTGAGATGAGCTGAGGCATCATAAACGACTCTTAGCTTGGTTGTGTTCTTGTTTGGAGTGATAACTGCACGATGAGGCAGGTAGTGTACAATGTTTCCATCGGGAGACCTGTCTTCATCGACTTCTTCAATGATGTCACGATCTAGTTGAGTTTGTATTGTTTCCTGATACTGCTGTAGTATTTCAGGAGTAGTTTTTAATTTGTTGATCAGTGTTTGTAAGCGGCGTAGAGCTAGAGCCTTGTTGTCTGGTAATTGCTCAGCGTCTTCTTTCCAGGGGAGGCGTACATAGTAGCCGTCATCCTTTCTTTCGACTGTTTGTTCAAATGAACTCCATATAGCGTGGTCTGTCCTTCTACGTTCCTCTGTCTTCGGGCCAACGAATTCGCCCACTCCAGGATGATTCGAACGTGCAGAAGTCTTCCCACGACTGCTGTGATTCTTCGGGTTCCACTGTATTCGCAGTGTGTATCGTGATCTTCTTCTCATCCTTCTTTATTGTTGTAGAGCAGTTGCTATTGCATCCTGCTACTAAATAACCGAGTTTCGAAGAAATGAGTCGATATCCTGATGGAAGTATGTGTTGTGACGCCGAGCCATGATCTAGAAGAGAAAAGAGGTCGTTGCAGCTAAGGAGAATTTGCGGGCGGATGCTTGTCAGGTTTGGGTTTATGGAGAGTTGCAGGTTATTGTCACAGAGGAACCGTTTGTCCTCGACGTTGAGAGGGGTTCCGTTGCAGTGACTCGCGTAATTGTGTTGATCCTTGTGACCTTGAATGCATGTTGTGTGTGCCATTAGCGTCCCATATTTGGACTGTTGTGACGCCACATGTCTTTGATATAGGCTGCTGTGAGCCGAAAGTGCTGATATTGAGTCTTACAGACTCGATGTCTTTGAGATGCAATCTCCTTGCAAGTGCGCTGCTGATGAACGACCGATCAGCGCCCGAATCGAAAATGACGTGAACAGGTTCGAAAGATCCCGTAGTTGGGTTGAGTACTCTCGCCTGTCCTGCTAGAACCATATCCTTGTTATGGTTGCTGAAGTGAAGTACGTTGTCTTCCATTAGGCTCGGCTTTTGGTTAGCACCCAGTGTGCTGACGTTTAATGGTTTCGTACGGTTTTGTGTTGTCTTGGTTGCTTTCTCCCTTGTATTTTGGGACGTTTGAAAAGTGTTGTTGGGAAAGAGAGTTTTGCAGATTGAGGTGTGGTGTCCAGTAATCCCACACATTCTGCAAGCTCCCTTGCGGCACGTTGTTGCTGTATGGTCTCTTTGGCCGCAATTCCGGCAAAGTTTTTGCTTCCTCATAATTTCGAGGCGTTGCTCAAGTGTAGCTACTTCTGTGCAGTCTCTCGCAGAATGTCCTGTTTTTGTACAGTAAAAACAAGGCTTTGAAGATTGAAGCTCCGCTGGTTTTCTGTTGGTTGTGGGTCTCTTTTCTTCTATCTTAACCCTTTCTTGGCTCCTTTTATTGTTGAAGACATTTCGTTCCATTTGACTCATGATTCTCACTTCAGCTTCTATGAATTCCTTTGCGGTCCTTAACAGGGTCATGGTGTCCCAGGTCCTTCCGCTTGGAGCTTAGCTTTCTGACGGAGAATCTGTCTTTGAACGTCTACGGAGAACTTCGCTAGAAGCTGTTTCTGCAGAAATGTGTTATCGATGTGTTCTCCGTGGAGATCCAGTTGTGACGTAATTGAAGTGAGCTGCTCGCACAAGGTTTCCTGATCTTTGAGATGATCGCTGTCTGCTTCGGTCGATTGGAGCTTACTTAGGAGTCGATCCACTAATGCCTGCGCGTGTCTCCATACTTTCGTTTCAAATGGGCAATTACTAGAGGATATGTGTGACCAGCTACTTGGAAATGCTTTACTGATTCCTTGGCTGCTCCTTGTAAGGCGTCGAGAAGATAGCTCATCTTGTACATGTCATCGATGTTTTTAGAGTGCACGCTTCGTTCGAAACTCTGCCAAAAAGGTTCCCACTCCCAAATGTCTCCATCAAATTTGGGTATTGGGATTGGCGTTAGGGTGACTTCGGAATTCCTCGAAGAGGGGTTGTTCCGCTTTTCCGAATCCATCAGTTCTTCTTGAAGTTCCGTGAGTTCCCTCAAGAAGTTGTGCGCATCGTCTAGAAGCGTCTGTGCGGCATCAATGTGAGCTTCTTGTTCGCTCCATAAGGTCCGATCTCGAAGGGGATCTGTCTGCGTTGTCCACTGCTTCGGCGTATCGGTCCATAGCTTCTTCGACTTTTTGCACCTCTGTGAGCATCGTAGCTTTCACTTTCCTGATCGATCTTTGTATCTCTCTGACGTCGTGGTCTTCTTGGTCAAGGTTTAACAGATTTGAGTGCGCATTTAGAATTCTACTGAGACGATTTTGTGCCCTTGTCAGCACGCCTCGTATGCCTTGTAGCGACTGATAGAAGCATCTTTTTAATCGAATGAAGAGAGGAAGGTAACTGCGAAAGTTTTTCGAAGGCTTACTTACTGCTCCTGGTTCTTCTGTCCGAATAGGATAGCTGCCGATGCACCATGTACTGTATCGGCTTGTGTTCCTTTCGAGTGCTGCCACGCGGGACTTTGACGATATTTATTGATAACCAACAGCCGAGAGACGAATAGAAGCAGGAGACGATGAATAGCCGATTTACAGGAGAAGCACAATAAATTAACTCAACCTCACTCTACCTCCCTTTTATACTGCCCTGATACAAACATCTATGATAAACACCATGACAAACAAGTTAAGTTCATTTACAATGGTATTCATATTGAAGTAGGTTATAGAGGATTCTCTATAGGGCGCTAAGAAACGAAGGATGTGAAAACAAACTTCACGAAAAGTAAAACATGAGCTGAACGCCCCAAGAATGCTGACGTAGGCTCGCTTACACGATTCGAAATCGGCCCCTCCTGCTACTGGCAATCGCGCGCTCTGTCATTCGTAATCAGCGGCTGCTCGGCGCCGTTGAAAAGAAAATGACAAACAATACAAGTCAAAAAAAACCGCTGGAAAAATGATTACATAACATTTTCTGGAGCTTTCAGCTTCGCGGTTCACTACCGATATCAGCTATACGACACATAACATTAGACTTGTGAGTGCTTATAAGCTATGCATGAAAATGAACCATCAGACCCCCTGAAATTAAAGACAAGCCACGGTATAAACACTGAAGGCGATAATACGCAATATTCAGTGATGACCCGGAGTGCGAATGACCTATAGTGGAAAGAAACTTTAAAGAAATGCCGTAATTGAGTTCTTAACTTCGGCTTTCCTCGAGATTTCTCTTGCTTAGTTAGGCGATGTGTACGGATGCGAGAGGCAGGGCGATCAAAGAAGAAAAAACACGCGAGAGATCACGCCGTTGAGAGCACGCCTGATCTCTACATCAATGGGAAGCGTTGCAACGGGGTCGATGGTTGCAGGCCCGTAAGGATTAGCGCCCTAACCGCGCAACTTTGCGACGAAGCTGGAGTGATCTGGGTAGGTAGGTATGGACCACACATTTCCCTCGCCGGTATCCTACCCACAGGTCGGCTAATCAGGGGTTTGCCTTTAAGGTAAAATGGTGCCTTGTTAGCGTAACTGGTAGCACAGTTGACCGATATGCAATGGATGCTGGTTCGAATTCGCCTAGAGCGAAGACTTTGTCTACAACTCAGCATTCTTGCACAGCTTTCGCGTGGAACGAGAGCTGCGGTGTCAAAACAGCACTTAAAAACAAAACAAGTCATAGATGAAAAAAATCTGGATAGATAAATACAAAAAATTTACATTTGTGAACATTTGCAAAGCAGAAAACGCTTACGTGATAGGTTCCGATAGAATTTTCCTTCCTGGTGCCTTCTCATCATGGCGCTCGACTGTTACATTAGCTTGCTTAGCCTAAAATGCAGCCAGTAGCCTCTCATATGTAGCCACAGAACCTAAGCGCATGCCAGTTTTACTAAGAAATCAAGACTGCATATTATCCTGCTACAGCAGCCGTAGATAGTTTCTTTCTACCTGAAAACTTACAACTTACAGCATATCGACAAATATCCCATAAAAACTGTGTCGGTGCGTCAGTTTTGAGAGCTCGAGGGTTACAGTGAGAACCAGACACCTGAAGAAACAACAGAAAAATCAAGAAATTTCCCAACTCATCATCCCTGTGAATCACCTTGTACCCAGCATTCAAAATAGCCGACTTTACAGCTACAGATTTGGGAACACAGCACTTCACAACGTTAAATAGTTGATCGTGCTCATAGTATAGAGGCACGTCGAGCTCCTGGAATGGTTGCAATAGCTCAGGGAGATAACAATCTCATTGAGATATATCGTATACAAATACAAAAAGTACCTCTGACACGTTAGTAAGGACACCCAAGAGGCGATTATGAGTACCGAGTCGCTCATCTTCTGGTGTTTCTTTCAATCTAAATATGCACCTAGCACAAAGGATTACACCAACACAAAAGATAAACAAAGCGTTGAATAAACAACGATGTAAGTGCTCTACAATGTTGGAAAGAATGAGAAACTCTAGACTTCCAATGCATATGAAAGCCTGACCAAGGGCATGCATCCTCCCATCATTTCTCCGGCTTTCTACCATTTTCCAAACTTACTTCGCTCGATAATCAAATAACTATTTAAAGACAGCTACTCCACTTTACCGCCCCTTCAACAAAATCGAGTGATGAGTTCTATGATACACATTTTCATGACAATATTCACTTCCATGTAGCCAAGTAACAAAAATTCAAGGGGAAAGAATTGGTGACAGTACCGCTTCAGCATGCCTTCCACGAAGTCACGATTATGTATTGGACCGGTCCAGATAGGTCCAGCTTGGTGAACTGAATGACCACAGTGAAGGCATTTGTTATCGGCACCTAAACTTCGAACCTACAGTAAAAGAAAAGGCAGTAGCGTCCACCACAAATACCAAGCAAAGCTGATAGTAAGTACCCTCAAAAAAGATAAAATAGCAAAATTACCCATCAGTGTCTGCCGCACAACACCCGTACCGTACTTCAGACTTTTTCCATCTTCTATTTTCTTGAGAATCGGTACAATTTCCAAGGAGTGGCAACCCGAGCATGCCAATACGTGTCCCGCTTTACTGAATAAATGAAGACTTTACCCATCGAGTTCTTAAGGTAAACTAACTATCAGGGCTATTATAATCACAAATTAAGAATAAATAACACTATCAAAAAAATAAAAATTTACATTCAAACACTCACGTTCCGGATTCCTTCGTCATTCTGGCACCTGTGTGTAGCCGAACAAATACTCGAACATAAAAGTCAACGCTTATAGATAACAACGGCTCAATATATCGGGTATATTTATTAGCTTGGGTGTCTATTGCCCGTAGAAGAATTCGTAGTGCCTGAAATATAAAAGCCTCAGTGGCAAAGAGAACACGAAAATAATGAACGAACATGAAACATCGAATGAAAAAAAGAAAAAGTAGAGGCTAAAGAAAAACTACCATGAAAAGAACCTAAGTGAAAGAAGAAAAGCATGAGTCAAACTTTTGAAGTAAACCTACCATTTCGTGACAACACTTAAGGCGTACTGTAGTGGATCCGTATTTATTATAGCATGTCTCTGGTGTATTTCCACATAAAACTGCCATGTCAGTGCAAGTGACCATTAGTATACCTGTATCGACTGATTTATTTGATAAATGAATATATGAACTTGTTCCTATTCCCTATAGCCGTCATATGCAACGAATCCACAATGACTTGAGTATCTACCTCCACCCGAAGCAGTGCGAAATTTCCAAAATTTGACTTTTTTTTGAGAATTTAGCCTCTCATACACGATTCTTGCAAAAAAGCTGTTTCTTGGGCGCTCTAGGGTCATTGCTTCCCGATTCAACGATTTATTGAGAAAAAGGATTCGAGTTAGGGTCGAAAAAGTGTCCACTGCAACCATCTTCACTATCACCCTTTACGACGTAGCCCTCAATAGAAAAAAAACTTTTTCGCCTACTCTCCCTCTATGAAAAATCAATGTAGTGCATAAAGCAGGGCTAATACTTCTGATTACATTCCCACCTCTGTCAGCAACGCATTGTACACCGGAATCAAGAAATACAGAAGCGGAACCGTAGGGATCGAGATCAACAGCGTGAAATCGTTTGTCGATACTGCGATGGTTCATCATAGTCATCCTATAATTGACGATAAATGGATGAGAAAACACGGTCAGGCTTAAAAACGATGACTGAAACCAGAGCAAATGTTTGCATTCATAGCGTGGAATGGGAGACTTTAGAATGTGATGTTGCAAAAGTCCAAAAAAGAAGAAATCAAAATTAAAAGCGAGTTGCTCGATCTGCGGCTAAACGTACACTGCATCGCCAAACGTGGCACGAACTTTATCTTCAACACCATTCAACCGAATGTTCTCTCGAATCGATTCGACAGCATTTTCCGAAAAGTCATTGGCTAGTACAAAGTCAACATTCTCCACCTGAAAGCACTTGAAATGGAGGACTCTTGCTTTTTGAAACCCTGTACTCTAATTAACAACAAGGATGCTGAGTTATTAGCAAAGCACTTCGTTCATGACAGGAATCGGACTCGAACTTCTCACTTTCCGGATATTTGCACCACCGACTGCGAAAAATTCGCTTTCTGTCCTAGTGAACCACACCCTAGATTTGGTTACAAGTGCACAACTAATAACCATGTTATACGACATCCTACAAAAACATTAGCTAAAACCGTACTTCTTTGGAAAACCGTAGAGCCCTCAAGCCGCTGGCCGATAAAGCATCGAGAATTCTTATAGAGCCATCCTATAAAAAAAGCATTCATTAGGCAAGGACACTAGAACTTGATCCCAAACGAACCTCTTTTTCGAAAAGCATCTTTGCTTTCTTAGCCTTTGGTTCTTCGTTATATTTCTCACCTTCCGCACTGGAACCGTTTACCATACGTGATCTAACAAACTCTCGTAGAACCGAGACACTGGAAAGCACAGGCTGTCTCAAAAAGGCAAATAAAGTCGCAAATCAAGAAGGAACATGATATGCCTCACGTCAAATCTCTGTTGAATTCCTGAACAGGGTTGTAGAACACCGGTCCATGGAAACCAACTTTTGCCTTTCCTTCTTGCACTATCACAAATTCCTTGTCTGTATCACCAGAAGAGAGGTTCGCTTGTTGAGTCTCTCCCATTATGAGAGCGAGACTCCGACGAACCTGGAATGGAAGATATTTAGAAATACTGGTGATCAGCCTCGCTACACACGGAGGAGCGGTAACTGTGAGAAGATCACAAAGGCATGCGTAGGGTATGAAATAACCACCACTCTCACAGCTCCTCGGCTCACGCGCCAAGTAAGAGGGGTTATTATGACAGAGGCTCCAACTTTCATAACGGTCACTAAATATTTCATGAAGATTCGGATATTTCATGAACTCTACGTTCGGAAAGCGTAAAGTTTACATAAAGAGTGGGAAGAAAGCATCCAGGATGGTCTTTCAGATCCAACCCCGCTTTTTGAAAACGATTTTTTTGCATTATATTAGGAAATGCTCATAAACCATGGCCATGCTTTATTTTTTCTGAGGGGCTCTCCGAACGTCGAAAAACGGTGCTATACAAGTAGGGTGGGCACGCCGCATTTTTGAACAGAAATGTATGTCAGTGGGACTGCTGCTCGCTACTATACTGTCACGAGAATTGGGAGTTCGTGAGCCAGGGGTGACATGAGTGAAAAGCTGGGTGTGCCCACCCCACTTGCATAGCACCCAAAAAACTAATAAAAGTCTGGTTCATGGTTCGGTTCCTGGTGCTGACAAAGTTTAAAATTTCCGATTGAAAATAAATCCCTAATATGGCACGTTGAAACTTGAGGCCTCCAACTCATCGCTACTTTTTTGGTAAACCTCGGAATAGACAAAGATAACCCATTTTAGTTGCAAACTACTTACCTGGTTCAACAACGGACGAATACGTAAAGAAATCAGGCTGAAAGAACTTCAAAAGTTACCTCTACGACTATTTGCTGTGTTGGACGTGCTCTACACACACCGCTTGTAATAGGCGTAATTTCATTTGTGGTTCGATTTGAAACGAAACCTAATTTGAATTTTCGAGTAAGATCCCTCTCCTTCACTGATCCCAAGTTTGCTGATTATTTCCAGATTCAGTTGATGCCCGGTAAACATGATAAAGTTATGCCAGAAACGAGCGGTGACGATAATGAAAGTGGAAGCACGAGCGGCTCCGAGGTAATAGTTCCAGTGTAGATGGAGTTTTCTTGAATCTTTCGACACTTGTGGTCATCGCTCTGACTTAGTTGAGCTTGCTTTGCTGCAATTTTGGAAGGAGCTATTATTTGCATGCACATATTAGTGGCTCTAATAAGAGCCAAGCAATGTAGTGCAGTTTGTTTGAAGAGATGTGCAACAGGATCTTTCAGTTGATCTCTTCACTAAAAGTATTCCTCATATTAGCGACGTCCTCTCCAATTGGCCTCGTTTCAGGTATCTATAGGGGATGAAGGAGAAGAGAATAACCGATCGACGGCTGAGAGTGAGGAATCAGAGGAGGATTCAGAGTCTAGCGGTAATTCCTTTTTTCTTCCATCATTCTTCCCATTGCTTAGGTTCCTGGAATCATAGGAGCATTACAATTTTTGTATCTATTATATTTCCGGTATTCCGACACCCGAATCTACCTTTTTCGTTTCTAGAAGACGAGGAAAGCTCTGAAAGTGATTCCTCTGAAAGTGACGGCGAGAGCAGTAGCGACGATAGCGATTCTACTGATTCCTTATGGGGTGCTTTCGACGACGGTGACAAAAAGCAAACGCAGGAGGCAAATGTGGGCGTTAGGTTCATCTTCCCCATGCTCTAGTTTCTCCACAAATTAAAATCATTTCTTTAAGGAAGCATCCGCTCTGCTTGAGTTCCAAAGAGCATTGGATTGTTTAGTGAAAGGAAAAAACGCAGCTGCAACAAAAATTCTGAAAGCGACTCCTCAACAATCCCTTAGTGAAGGGGTTCAATACGACAGTATTCGACTGGGAAGCGGAAGTAGATGAAAGGTGATTCTTCTTAAACGGTACTGTTATCGGCAATATCCTCTCATTGTAGACTTTCTAAGATGGCTCGGCTTTTCGTCGGCGTTCACAAAAATCTTGCAAAATTAGAGACAGAATGTTCATCACAGCACTTCCTTCAGGTATTTTTGTTTTCGCCAATGGATCAGTTTTATATAGTTAACTCATATTCGCTTAAAACTCTTTCTTCAGATTTTATCTGTTGCTCCGAAAAATGCAGAAATATGGATGAACCTTGGATTAGAAAGCATCACCAGTGGAGATGTTGATTTCGCAAAGTTTGCTTTCGAACACGCCGAAGGACCGCAGGCCACAGATGCGCTGCTGAGCGCCCTATATTTGTCGCGCAATTTTCACGGTAAATCTTCTGACCCTATGTTTCATTTTTGTTTGAGATTGAATTATTCAGCTTGCTTACGATTGGCGCAGAAATGTTTGAGCATGGGTATCGCTAAGGAAAAAGCGCTGTTTCTGAAAGAACGAATCCGCTCCGTGAATAGTCATTACAGGTACTGTTTTTGATTCCTATTCCCTATAATTTCCACTGGAATAAAAGTAAAATGGGTATTCTATAGAATAGAACGAGGTGAGGGGATTGGGGGGGGGGTGTGGTAGAAGTACCACTGCATACCATACCACCCCTACCTCAGCACACGATCCGAGCTTCAAATTTGGAGACCACTGACATACCTAATCTTGAAATGCTGTCATGATTCTGAGCGGTGGTCGAGTCCGGAAGGGTTTGGTCCACGGCGGATGTTTTTTTTTCTTTTTGTTTTTCTTAGTTACTGGATTGAGTGGATGCATCGCTCTTTTAAACAGCACTCATCTAATTGAATATTGTAAGTTTAGTGAATTTTGTGACAAAATTTTTGGAGAAAACAGACGATACGATTTGGTCGAAACGTTAGACGAAGCCACTACAGCGCAGGTATTTTCTGTCAAAGATTATGACCTGCTATTTTACTTGACTCTTTGTGACGCAGATAGCACAACGGTTGAACGCTGTTGAAGAACGCCTTCGTGCGATCCCTTATGAGGATGAAGACCCTCCTCCAAGTCCCATCGATATCGAATTCGATGCTGACCAGACGTGAGCTTTTTCTCATGTAACGAATAGTCGTTAGAGCGTCTGAACATTCATTGTATTTTAGGGTGGAAAATGTAGCAACTTGTTTTTGTGACCTTTATGATCGCGTGGAGGCTTATTCCAGCGTAGGTTTACTGGGCAACAGTACCCCTTGTCGGTGAATTTCATGATAATGATCTTTTTTGAAGCTTTCCTTGCAAGAATTCACCTTTTCTCGATGGGATGACAGAAGGAATTTACTGGAGTCGATGTCGGTGCTGCAAGACATTGTTGAAGTTATAGATGCGGTTAATTACATCATAGAACAGGTATACCTGGAACTAAAATTTTTGCAAGAGAACCAATAATTGGTTCATTATAGGCGTCATCTAAGAGCGCAAGAGCGCGACTTACATCTTTGTCCACCTCCACGTCGGCTAGTGACAGTTTTTTGCGAAGGTCGATGCGATATGCTATGGAGTTGCCTTTCTATGAGGAAAGTAGCCCTCTAGTAGTGGACACGTCAGCCCCTTGCCGCCTCGACGGAAAACTACCTCCTCTGGAAGTAAGTCCAACAAGTTGTGATCGTGATCTTAATCAAACGCGGCAGTTGCAGCTAGCAAACTTTCTCGGCTTCTCTGTTCAATCAATTGTACCTTTGAAAGATGAGCTGCTGCGTAGGCCTTCTCGAACGCCAAGTCCAGAGCTTTGTCGCGAATATTTCGATAGTGATTTACTGTTGTATCTTTTGATGACAACTCTTAAAGGCGGGAGCTGGACAATGTTCGAGCTGTTAGGTTTGTTTCAATTTTGTGTGCCTCTAAACTCTTCGGATGTTTTATTCAATTCAGAGGCCTTCCTATGTCTAGTCGCCGACCTTTCGCCGGCCTTTGGTGCAGTGCCACCTGACCTACGCGAGGTTATTATCCAATGCTATCGCAGGTTCAATAGGCTTTCTAGCAATCTTGGTGAGGAAAAGTATATCCGACTGCACGTGCTGATGGACGAGCTGGGTTTGTCATTTTTTGTTAGTTTTTTTTTCAGTGATCTAATGGCCTAATTTTCCTTAATTACAATGGGTACTTTTAGAATTTTTTCTGTATCAAAGATTAATCAATTCTTGGACTACTTTCGAGGCATCTTTCACCCTTGTTTCCGTGTTGGGCTATAAGGGGAAAACATTCGGTGGTGATCAGTCTCTTTTCGGAAGGTGCCGCGCATTCGAATTTCTCTTGATTACGCATATGCCCTCGATGATGTACGGAAGCTCACCGATCTGGGTTTTATGCTCCCAGACGAGTCCAATGGCAACCAATCGCACAGACTGAAGTGGATGTCTCGAACCAACTAGAACTGAAGTAGTGGCTCATCTGGCTCTAATATCGCGGTTCGGTGGAGCTCATCGAAAGCTCTCTTCACATGTTCGTTACGAGCAATGATTTGCTCTGAGAAATCCTTTCGTTAATCTTTCTTCGTTTATCTCATTGTCCGCGACTTTAGGCGAACCCCAAGCTCGTGACTACTGTATTCGATGGCATTACAATGAGAAGTGGACTGATAGGGAATTATTACAACGCTTTATATTAAGCCACACGAAAGCGATTTCTGATGAGACAATCAAGTAGGCAATTCCTCCACTTGCACTCTCAACATAGCTTCAATATTGCCTTACAGACTCTCTTTTCTGCGGTTCCTAAGAGATTTTCTTGAAGAAGATGAATTTGTTTTTACTGCGAAGGGTAGGTCTTTGATATTCATTGGTAAAGCCCCTACTTCTATCTTGAGCCACATTTTAATATTATCAAGGTTGGGCTGGCAAGGATGATGTGTGCCGTAATATCGAGCGGCTCGAAAGGAGCAGTAGAATAATATCCATCTCACAGTTGAGAGGTAGTGGAAAGTATGAGGAGGTACGGTTCAGTTTTTGTCTCTGCTGGTCTATCAGGTTAGATACCTTCATTCAGGTTATTGCAATAATAACTCGTGATATTGACTTTCATGCTCTCGATGGTGATGACCTGTTTGAGACGGCTGAATTT